CGCACTCTGGTCTAAACCTTCAAAATAAACACCCTCTCATCCTCTCCTTAGTCCCTGGCTGCGGTAACACGCACACTGTGGTCTAAACCTTCAAATTAAAACACCCTCTCATTGATGTTTAATGATGTTTAATTGATGGATGTTAATTACATAAAATTTAAGCAACACTTAAATGTACATTTTACTTTATACAAGTAGATAGATAGATAGATAGATAGATCAGTGTGGAGGTATTTCATGTTTTGTCTGTTGTTTTTGTTAACATTGGTCACCAGTTTCTTAAATTGTGTTGGATTGGCTGCAGCACTGTTTACCCCGGAGACTCCAAAGTGTTTTGTGGACTCAAACACTTCACCCACCTACATAATGAGTGAAGTTTCATTTTTTTCAACTCTCCCTTTAATGGGGACATTGACAGTAGGTGCAGCTGTTCGATAGATGGCGCTACCTACGTCAATCTGAAGCCATGCAAGAAGGTGAAGAAGAAGAAGACGGTTCAAAGGTCAAAGTGAGATCGTTTCCGGAGGAGCTGGGGGTCACACACGGGGGGAGACGATTTCAAAATGCTGTTACGTGTGAGTATTAGAAGCATATTACTGAACCAGAGTGTGTCACAGTGCACACGAGCTTTTATGTGAAGTCGCTGGTTAGTGCTGCGGGTCTGTCGTCGTGCTGTGGACCGTGTTAGCTCGTAGCTTGTGTAACGTTGCTTCATGTCAGCTCCACACCTGAGGACACCGACTCCTCTGAGGACACCGACTCCTCTGAGGACACCGACTCCTCTGAGGACACCGACTCCTCTGAGGACACCGACTCCTCTGAGGACACCGACTGTCACACACACACACTCATTCACTGCGGCCTCTCTGGTTGTGGTGATGCTCACAGACGCGGTGTTAGCTAACTGCCTGCTGGAGCCCACACGATGGCCACAGGGTGAAGCATATGTAACCTGACGTCAGAGAAGCAACGAGAGTTTAACAGCTCTAAATGTTCACCGGAAGTAAACTCGACATCCTGCATCTGACTGTGGGATGTCTGGCTTCTGGAACGGCGGTGTAGCTGACTGCTAAGATGAGAAAGAGCTGATGTGCTGGGAACATCAGGAAGCTCACCTGTGACACGTGCAGTTGGGGATTTAGTTTTTGTTTTGATTCCAGAGATGGAGGTTACCCTCTTGGATCCATCACATGCAAAACAGATCAAATATCTCTGTCCACGATAAAACAAAGGTTCTCCTGATCTAAGTACATCTGTTGTTCCAAATCAGAGAGTTGTGTAAGGTAAAATTGTGTTTATATAACATTTCCCAATGACAGAGAGCCAATCCAGAGATACAGGTTACATCTAGGATACAACATCTAAAGCTGAAGTTCTAATGGCGGATTAAAGTTCGGAACTTCTGATACATAACCTGATTCCTTTAGGGAAGCACTTTACTCACAGATGTAATTATTAAAAAGTCAAGGCCCATATCAACAGATGGAAGAATAAACTAAAGACGCCTGCAAAATCTCCTTAATGCATGATCGACAAAAATGTGACTTGTTTATGCCGCTTGAATAAGACCCTCTATTTATTTCTTATTCATTTATAAAGTAAAATGTATTTAAAAACATGCAGCTTGAGGACAGTACAATGGTGTAATATTCTTTACATTACGGTGAAAATTATACGGTGTTCAAAAATTTGTAATAGTATAATAATTTTTGTGATTATATGTTGTAATGGAAATAATGAAATGAAATGGGGAAAAAACGTCTGTTGGATTGAAAAAGTTGGGGTATCTTGGTTCCATTGCCCTGTATCATGATACAATGATTTTTTTATTATTATGTTTTTTTCAGTTTCACAACTTACTCAACTACTAAACAGGCTACTATGTGAATAAATGAGGGGAGAGCCACAACTGCACTTTCAAAGGTCACTGAGAAGAAAACTACTTAAAATAGAATAAGTAAAAGGTTGGGGATCTTGTTCAAGCAGCAGATAGTTGAAAAGAGTTTGACAAAAGACCTAGTGAAAGTACAAAATATAATAATAGATAAGCAATAAGATAAAATATGTACTTAAAATACACCTTTCACTACAGTAAGATTGGACCAAAATGGTTGTGTGACACACACTTGATGTGCAAGATGCACATAAGATACAGCCTGACTTTAAATAGAACTATAACTCTGACATTGTGATCTGGTGTTCCTTGTGAAATTCCAGTATCACAATATGAGATTGTGGATGTTTGTGTTGTGTCGTTTGTGTTTTACAGTTCTCGCTTTTGTGAGGTTATTACTATGATGCTTGTTTCTTTGTCTTGTGGGAAAGGGCTGCAATAGCTGAATCTAACATGTTTTTTCTGTCTGTCTGTGTTTCAGAGGGTGTTGCACTTCGGAGGGTTGACACTGAAACACAGCAGGTCCATCCACCACAGTCCTGTATGGAGGAGTCCTCTTATACCTATAGTTGTAGAGCAGACGGTGAGTGAAATGACTTGATCCTGTACAATACAAACACATGCCCAAAGAATTCCTTAAGTAGACCTACTTTAATACCACTACACTACAAGGAAATTTTGTTTAAAAAAACAAAACAAAAAAACAATCACTAAAAATGGCGAAATGAATTATCACCTACATTAGAAGAATCGTATAGAATAATCTTGGACATAGTAAAGTGGAGAAACTGACATATTATTTGAGAGTTCAAAAAGACAAACATCAACAAATTTTGAAAGTGTTCTGAATTTATAGCACCTATAACAGCAGACTTTGTGTGACTGGTCCAGTGATTCATAGTCTTTCCCTTTAGATCATAACAGTAGGAATGTGAACTCCTTTGGTTCTAGTGTATAAAGTTTAATGGCATTTGCCCTCGGGTAAATGTCATCTGCATATATACGTTTTTCAGTTTGAGAGCAGGACTTATTGACTCTATTGGTTTAGGAATGTTTGAGAGACATCCCAGAGCAGAAGTGTCACACTTGCAGAGAAGAAGCAGCAGGATATCTGAGTGCAAGGAGGGTTTAAACAAAAAAGATGTTATACTCAAACTATTAGTATACAGGATTAAAAATATCCAGGTTTGTTAACGGCTGTTGATAGAAACCATTATCCCTCAACACAACGGTCATTAAACAGTGTCACAAAGCTCTTACCATTTTCTGTTGAAATAAAACTTATGTTTATTTTATACTTTATTAACATATATATCGTACATACGGCATACAGTTAGATACAGTTTATGCAAGAGGGACAAGTGCACAGTACGTTTTTAGAAGGATCCTTATCCATCCAGTCTTCCATTGTTGCAGTTTATTTTGCGACACAATGAGAAACAACTTACAGAGACTAGAAACTTGGCTCTGAAACTAGAGCTGCTTTCAGACAGGCACTGAACTCTGGAGATCCTCCGCATATTTTTATGCAAGGCCTCTATGTGTGAATGCAAATGTCAAAGTGAGAGCCTCCAGATTTTCTACAAACTTTCTCCGTCTGGCCTCCTAGAATAAAGTCTGCGAAAGTCCTGAAGAGCCAAAGTGAGAACACGGCAGGAGATCCACCTTGAGGGAGTCCGGGGTGGTTGATGCAAAAAAGAAAACAAAAAAAAAAGACAACAAATATCTCAGAATAAAACCGCAGAGCTGTCCACCAACGACGGTGTCATGAGTTTGCGGTGATAAGAGCTGGCGGCGATTTGCTGTAAACAAAAACATGTCAAATTCTGCTGCTGCCTAGTGAATCTTTGATCGCACTCACAGGGAAAGGTTCCAAGGTTTAAAAATCTGTCTCCAGTGTGTACGCTGTTATTTTTATGCGAGACTGTTTACTGTCTGGAACAAACTGAGTTCCAGTGGTGTGGAAAGTAACATAGTAATCACAACGCAGCACAGTATGATTGCAAAATGAGGCTTTTTGTTGTCTCACTAGATGAAGTGGTTTTGTTGCATTTTGGTTTTGTGTCATTTATGATTTGACTTGTGTTTTTTGCAGGGGAGAGGAGAACGAGCATATGACATCTATTCTCGCCTCCTGAGGGAGAGAATCATTTGTTTAATGGGTCCTGTAAGTGTCGTCCTCAATGTTGATATGAATTAAAAGTGAAGTGTAGATG